AAATTCAAATATATGAATTAATTTAAATGTGAGAAATGAATTCTTTGTTGAACCTATAGTAGACTATTTGAACTACTCACAACTTGGACTGTTTTGTCCCTAGGAAGCTTTGAAGGGCCTACTCTACAGATCCTCTGGACAGATTCTTTAAGCAGATCACCATGTTTCTCTCCCTACTGTCCTGATCATACCTCACTAGAATGAACATCTTACATTACGGCAATCATATAAAGGTTAGGCAGCTGTCTCAGAGATAACCAGAATTCCCACAAAAGGAGGGAATTTGTCAGTAGGTAAAAAAGAATAGTGGAATCACTATACTTGCTCACCACTGGTGTAGGGAACCACAGCAACAAATAGTCTGATGCTGAAGGCACCCAAAACTCTACTGAATCCTGAAAGATCTTCTAGCTCCTGAATGACATCCTCACCTCATGATAAATGACTGTGGGATAAGTGAAATAATAATCTTCCTTTCCTCTGTATCCTGCTGTGGAGATGCGGGTGTCAGAGCAAGGGCTGTACTCCTGTTATTCCCATTAATTAAGGTAACATACCAGATTCCTTATAACCTGAAAAATCTAACTACCACACCTAGTTAACAACGTTAAATAGATCCTTAAAAAAAAGAAAGACCAGAATGAAGAACTGGAGACTAAAAGCAAAAACAAAATAATCTAGATCCTTTTTTCTCTGCACATATCAGTAAGAGAACATCCACTGTATTGTGTAAATAGAAACAGTAGGATATCACTGAAACATACAAGAACCCATCAGGTCCCATTATGTAAACTGATCACTGGGAAGTTTATAGGAAGGAATGGAAATACCGCCTTATATTTTGTTTGATCTGTGGGTATTGAATCCTATCCTATGTTTCATCAAGAGTTTTTCCCTGTCAACTGAAAAAAAGGCAGGAAAACTCACTGAACACACTATCAAAATGTCATTCTCAAGGGCCAGCCTGTGGCTCTCTTGGGAGAATGGTGCTGATAACAGAGAGCATGTTATCAAAGGATCCCCTTACCAGTCATCTTAAAAAAAAAAAAAAAAAAAAAAACTCTCAGAATTACACAAGTTGGAACAGAATTCTAGAACTTGGTTTTTAAACAAAGTTCTAAAATTCTAAAAATAAAAACAAGAATATCTCAGTCACTGATACAATAAAACATGCAAACAAATAAAATTAGATAGAGTAACATTTAATTTTAAATAAACATTGGGTGGTCCAGAAGTTAAAATAAGAATTAATTAAACAAAAGAATTAAGAACAGTCAAATATTTTATATTCTTTCCAAGAACTGAAAAGTGGCCCCATGCCTTATCTTGATAACTAATAAGCAGCTGCTCATTTCTCACCCAGTTCCATCTGGCCAGAAATATGCTTGGCTTAGGACAGCCTGGGAAAGGAAGTGGGATGACAGTAAGGTGGGGGTCTTCATACAAGAGAGGAAAAACAGATATAGGCACCTCATTTTACATGCACAAGAATGTTAATCCTAAAAAAAGGGACTTTCTCTTTCCAGACTTTCTTCCCAGTCTGTTTTTGTCCCTTTTACAAATATTCAAAATATGCTTGAAGAAAGTACTATTTAAATATACAAAGGGTAAAAAGCAAACTAACTCATACAGAGGACTTCTCTTCCCCCAACAGCTCATGTGGAATACCAAAGTAAAAAAGCCAAGCAGATCTGGTCAAAGGGAGCCCTCTTCAAAACCTCAGGACTTCTTAGATATAATTTGAAAGGCAATCAAGCAAAGGAGTCTATGAAACATTTAAAAATATATACTTATAAACTTCATATTGGACTATGATAAAATAAACATATTTTAAAATTACATTGCCACCACTTTCCCTTGAATATGAGCCAAAAAATAAAGATTACAGAATAGTTTGAGGGGGGGAAAAAACCTAATAGCATTCCTTCTATGTTATCAAACCAATCATTTAACAGGGTCTAGTGTTCACAATTTAAACTTTACACCATCCATGAAAATCTTTATGAATCAACGAGACATTCACCCTTCTCTAAAAATACACAGACAAGAATAAACACCTCTACTCTCAATGGCTTTTTTCCCCATTGCAAAAGAGCCTGGAAAGTAAAAACTAATAAAAGGATAACAAATACATGTATCCTTTAATCTAAAGGACAGACTTGTGTAATACTGAACCAAACAAAAGAATTGAAAATAATTTAATAAGACAATCAGGGAAATTATAAAACTGACTGGATATCTGATAATATTTAAGAAATGGTTAACAATATTCCTTAAGTTTGATGATGACATTATGGCTGTGTTTTATATTATGTTTCTGTGGCTGGTTTTTTCTTTTCTTTCTTTCTTTTTTTTTTAAAGTGTTTATCTTTCAGATACACCTGATGGATTTACAGATGAAATGCTACTGAGATTGCTTTAAAATATCCAGCAGATGAATTAAACAGGATTGGTCATATGTTAATAATGGTTGACTGGATAACCGATACATGAAGTTTTATTATAGTCGTTTCTTTATTTCTTTGTCTATGGTAGAAACTTTCTCCCAGCAAGAAAAAGACATACGCTATGCATTAAAAAATCTTATCAAAAGCACATAAGTTTATTCCACCAAACAACCCAGAATTCTGTTTTTTTCCCTTATTTCCCAGTTAACTTACTCCAATAGACCTAAAACAGAAATACAATACTCTTTGTCTTTTAATTCCACTTATCGGCTTGTTAAGTGTTAGGTGAGGAAACAATACAGGATCCCAATTTATAATTAGTAATGTTATTTTAATTTCAAGACCACACATCGGTTTTGAGTCGGAATGATAAACTACTACAAGTTTTGTTTTGTTTTGATTTTAACTTACCTTACTCTCCCCCTCGTATTTAAACTAAGGTTGGTAGGTAGTGTGCCAAGGTGAAAAGTAACAGATGTTCACTACCAGGAAGTAAACTCAAGAAAATGGGTTAAAAAAAAAAAAAAAACACCTCAATCGAATATGACACACAGAAATGCTCCAAAAACCTACGGGACACTTACATACACAATTTACACGCCTCCTTCCCCTCATAAAAAAAAGCCTTTCAAGTGGCTGGAAAGGAGCGACCCTGGTTGGTTTGTTTCATCTCCTCCTCCTCCTCTCTTAGGGGAGGTGCTAAAGAGCAAAGAAATGACCAAAAGACAGGCCGGAAGAAGAGAGCTGAAAAACCTAGAGTCTAGACAATCCTAAATAAATGAGAACTATATTTAAATTAGATTAAGAGCGAGTGAATTGCTAAACACCTCCTGTAACTCCAACGTACGTGAGCGGCTCAGAGAGTAGAAGAACCCGGCAGCACGTACATCAGATTCGGACTCCCTTCACTCGCAAAGTACTCACAGGTACAAAGGCATAAAAGTAGCCCGAAAAAACTCCCACGAGTCTGGGCCACGCTAGCCAAGCTGCGCCCAGCCAGGCGAAGCCGCCAGAACTCCCCGCGCGGCCGGGAGCCTTCAAACGACTGCTCTGTTGCTCGGGCCGGGGACCCTAGTCTTTCCAGGCCGGGAGCGGGGCAGCCATGGGACTGAGCCTCGACAGGCAGGACCCGCTCGCCGCCGAGGCCCTCCGCGCCCGTCCGGCCCTAGGGTGTGGGACCCGTGCCGCCCACTCGGGCCCAGGCCAGGCGCCGCGCGAGGTTGGCCGCGAGCCTCGACCCCGGTCCGACCCTGCGCCCGGTGGGTCCCGCGCTCCCCACTGAGCCGCGGCGGCCGAAACCGTACGAACCCAACCACTGGCTACCTGTCTTCGCTCTTGTTTTTCTGTTTCTTCCCCATCGCTTGTCAGCTGCGCTTGTGGCCCCAACCCCTCTCTTCGGCCTCTCACAGACCCACTGTCCCCCGGCCGACTTAGGTCTCCGCTCTGTTCCGTCCACCCTGCGCTGGCGCCTCTCGCACCCGGCTCTCCACAGACCCGCGCACTGGGACAGGGCACATATGGTGTGAGCTTTCAGTGCGCAAGCGCATCGCCCCGCCGCCTCGGCGTGGGGACGCAGGGCGCGGCTCATCGAGAGCTGCGCTTCGGGTAGAGCGTCTCTAGTTGACGCACCGACCAGGCGGGAGCCCGAGCGCCCCCTGTCCGCAAGCGTCCACCGCGCAGCGACGCCCGTGCGGTTTCCAGGTTCTAGAACCCGGAGGGGGACAATGAGGCTTTCAATTCCGCACGTCAGCTCCCTCCCCGCGGGGGAACGCAGGCTTGGGAGATTTGTCATTCGGTTCAGAAGCAGGCCTTGGTCCTTCCTTATGCCATTGTTTCCTTAGCAGCACGAAGTTCAGTCAAGAACCACAATGAACTAATGATGAGCCCTCTGGAGTTCCCGAGGGAGACAAATCCAGTACAAAACTGAGACCTCCCAGTAATGTCCATGGATTAAAAAGTATCCACAGTGACTAAAGGAAACATACAGCAATAGCAAGCATACCCATCAATTCCCTAATATATGTCTTAATTTTTACGTTAAAAGCGATAGCAAGTTCTAAACATTCGTGTGTTTAGGTAAGTCACGAAGGAACTTACTGGGGTGGTTGGTGAAAATGGTCTCTATCTGGATCTGGGCGGCGGTTTTACGGGTGTTACCTACGGAAAAATTCATCGTGCTGTATAAGTTACACCTCAACTTTAGAACAAAGGAACATGATCAATAAAAACAGAATGAAAACTAAGTTCGAGTGTCACGCCTGAGCAAGAGCGTAGCTTTCTCGTATCTGATGTAACATTATGAATACGGATAGAACAGTGCCTACGAAACTCGGACAACGCCAGCCTGCGCACTAAGAAACTACAACTTCCAGCATACTTTGCTCCCTTTCCAGCCCGACAGTTACCCGAAGGGAGGCAAAGGATCGCAAAACAGGTTCCGGGCTGCTGGGGCCGTTG